TCTACTAAAAATAGCTGCGTCTCTAGTGATTTTATTACTAAGTCAATTATGTAATTTTCTGAGACAAGCACATTCTGGGATGCCAAACTCCCTGACAGAGTTATAAAAACAATAATATAGCTCCTAATTGCATTACAATTCAAATTCCATAAAGACTTACCTTAAGACATCCCTCTGAAGTTGTTAGTCCAGTATTATTCCCATTTTATACTTGTGGAAATGGAAATCTCTGAGAAGTGAAAAGATATGTTTAAAGTAACACAGCTAGGAAGTGTGACAGACAGAATTCATATAAAGGTCACCTGATTCAAGGTCCACCTATCATTTCACCATATTATGCTGTCTCCAATGCCAATAAATAGCTCAAATACTAAGGGAAGCCCATTTAAAACACATAAAAGAATTATCAGATTAAAAAAAAAAGCACTGAAATTTATGTAGAGTGGTTATATCCTAGAATAGTAGTATTTCTTGTTTGTTAGCCTGATCAAGGAGTACAAATAAATCAGAGCTTTACTATATCACAAACCATTATAGCACAGATTGTTGTGTATAATTATCTATCTTGAACTTGTTTAACTGGGCTAGTTTCTTAAAGCATCAAAAAGACTTTGTTATAATGCTTTCACCTACTATATGGTCCCAAATCTAGTCTCTGAGGGGCATATTATTAAATGCTGTCCAACAAATATCTAATAACCCTGCACCTCAAATCCATCCTCAAAACAGTTGAGCAAAACTTCCTAATAACATGATTGCAACTAATAACAAATACCACTTTCTACTTTTTTAGTATTTTAACTAAGAAATTTAAATAAAAAAGATAACTGAGACTGTCACTGACATTCTGTAATTCATAGATGAGAGAGAGAGAGAGAGAGAGACAAGAACTTCTGCCTTGTCTTGAGACATACTGGGCAATGGAGATCTCTGAGCTAGGAGGTAGGGATCTGTTCAGTCCTCTGGAGAATTCAGCCCAACATTTTCTGGTGATCCTTTAAAACAGACTGAGTCTTCTTGGAATAGGGTTACTTGGGAATGAAACACATCAGTGGTAAACACCACTGAAGGCTAAATATTGGCGCAAGATGACAGTCCACAATTATGATTAGAAGACGTTGAAAAGAATGTTGAAAAGATTAAGAGGGGGCATTAAACGATTGAGATATAATTGGGTGAGATCTGCCTCAAAGAGCTTGTTAATCCAGTCCGTTTAAGGTTTGGGAATGAATTCTTATATCTCTGAACTACAAATTCAAGAATACTAGGCCAGATCTTGGTTAAAAATTCTTAAAAGATGGAATGTACCCTTAATTTAGAAAGTAGAGTACTGATATTCTTTTTTAAATTAATGTGTTTTAAATTTAAAATACTAAAATTTAAATACACAAGAAAAAGAAAAAAGAAACATATTGTGAACTTAAATACAAAAGAAAAAAGAAAAAAAAAGTTTCACCATGTGCACAGCAGAACCTAAGAAAGAATTCAAAATATACAGCAATAAATTTCCATTTCAAGAAAGTCTATGTAGTAAGTACTACACATTATGTTCAGAGCTGTCCAACTTTTCTTTGCTTCCTTGTAAGTTTTCTTTTGTTCTCCACTGTGCACTTTTTACTTTACTTTTTTCCCCCTTCTTCTACCCCTCCCCTAAGAAGGCTACAATTAAGTGTGGATATTACATATAGCATATGTATAATATATACACACAAACATATATACATATATATACATACATACACTTACATGTACATATATACTTAGATATCGATAATCATACTCATATATATTCATATGCATCTATATAAGATTGTACTATACTTGTTTGTCCTCTGTTTCTCTAGGGTAGATAATATCTTTCTTCACAGTTCTAAGTCTTTCCATATTTTTCTAAGTCTGCCAACTTATCATTTCCTTCACCATAGCAATATTCCAACCTTATACTGTCTAGTTATTTTAAATAGTCTAAACTAATATTGATTAATATGGCTTACATGTAGTTTCCCTATTTTTTATTTCATTTTATTTTAAGGAGCTAACATGCCTCAGGCAAAGTGTCATTGTCTCTAAGTACAAATTGAAAACTTTCATAGGTCACATAGATCACTCTAATCTTGTGAGAAAGCTTTAAAGAAATTAGTGACAATGAAAGAGTATCAGAAATAAGGTTTGTTTTGCTTTGTTTTTTATGCTGAAGCAATAAAACAAACCACTCTTAAAAATCACTTTTACCTGTTGAATTCTGGAAAGTTTTCATTTCTTTGTATAAAAAAAAGCTTTCTCCGAATTATCTCAAGTACAACCAGAATATTTATATTTGACATGAGAAATTTATGTTGCACTTCTTCTTTCACTCAGCAATTAGGCACAAGAGGTACATAATAAAAAAATCAAACATTAGAAAATGTATTTTGATTGCAAATAATATCTTTTAATAAAATTTAGTCACATATAAAGTTGGATAACAATAGTAATTTTTATGCTATGTTTTATTGAGAAAAATCATATAATCTTAGATATAGAATACACAATAGCAGTTACATAGTCCAACTCACATATCTTGCTGATGAATAAAATGAGGTCTACAAAGGTGAAATGACATGATTAATGCTATGCAGCTAGTTACCTAAATGCGTGATTAGTGCAAAATTCTCGGTACTACAATATATACCCTAACTTTTTTTTTAAATGTAACCTAACAAAAGCTTGGAAAGAAAGCCTTTTCTTACTTGAAGTGTTACAAACTTGCTTTAGGAATCCTCCCTCAGAAATAATTTTGGTTTCAAAACAACCTTTCTTTTCTCTGCTTCTTTCTTTGTCTCTTATGTCTTCAGCCTGCAGCAATGCATACCAGAATGGCAGATCAAAGACCTGAAAATTATTGTTTTCCATTAATCCTTTTCAAAATTCATTTTAGTGGTTTTCATGCTGATAACCCCTGCCAATAAATATCTTTTATATTTATGGTCATGATTTAGACACCAAAAGCCTAATCTAAACTTTTTAGTTCATTAGCAATGTGGATGGGGATAGGTACATATTTGCTGACAAAGAAATAAGGATATAAGAAAATAGCAAAAGTAAATGAAAATAAGATTCTGAAAAACTCAAGGACCATAAGAAAATAACTCTTTTCCTCTGATCTGAACGCAAAATATACACCTATGTTTTTATTGAATTCTTAAGAGTTCTCCTTAATAATACTTAATTATATTATTACTGTATAATAATAGACCTCTGCCCCTGAAGCTTCCATCTTCTAATTGACTGTTTCTTCTCAGAAGCTCCAGTTTAAGGAAGAGGCCCAGGCATAAGATTTCTTCATCCCTTTCCAGGCTGTACTTCTGACTCATCTCCTGAGGACTTTGTGTATCCTGCCCCACAATCCTGTTCCTTCTCCTCTCCTCACCTTCCTTCTTGATTTTCACTCGCTTCCCCCTTTGTTAGAATGTAAGCTCCTTGAGGGTAGAGACTGTCTTTCTTTCTACTTATATTTGTATTCCCAGCACTTAGCAAACACTTAATAAATGCTTAGTGACTGATAATTTTTAAAATCTATAATTTAGTTTAAATTTTAAAAGGGTGATAATAATAATTCCATCTAGGATATGATGTATGATTGGAAAAGGAAGCGGGCTGGTCATGTAGCAGGTAGATAGCCTTAGTGCTGTCTCTATGGTGTTGGGTCAATTTGCTTTGCAGAGTTTAAGAGAAGACATATATAAAAATCACACAGGATGAAAGGTGTGACTGAGTTACAATATGCATCACATTCATGAAATAAAGATTTCACAAGTTAGATTACATTTTACAAAGGTCTGAAGCAATTTAATGAGTTCAATTTTGGAATACCACAAAATCTCATACAGAGTTCTTTGACCCTTAGTTTATGCACAAAAAAAGGGTAATTTAAGTAAAGAAGGACCTTTTCCTTTTGTGGACTCCGTGCCCCTATAATACAGCAACTACTTAAATGATCTTTACACTAGTCCTACATAATCACTCACTAACAATCTTTCATGATGTTAGAGGCTTGAGAATTCAATGACTGCTTTATGTCAGAGAAAATTTTATTCCTTGAGATGCAAGCTGCCAATGCCTAATTACTATCTTTTACAATCCTCTTCATAACTTGCTTTATTGTTCTGTCTTTATCTTGAACTTTAAGAAAAGTTATAGCAACTTTAAAGTGAATTACTATGAATACATTGATAAAAATGAGTAATTTACAAATTATTATATATTAGGAAAACTGAAGATATCAATATATTAATAGTCTTATCTTAAAGGAAAATATAGTATACATTGTGGCAAAAGTAGCCAGAAAAAAAGAACAAGGGGAAATATATATCTGGTTATATCTATATCTATAGGCAAAGAAAGAACATATGTGTGTGTGTATATATATATATATAATATGTATAAATTATTATGTATTTAATATATATTTAAAGACTTCTCTCTTGGAAGAGTGTCATTGGGGTTGAGAGGGGAGAGTGGGTGGTAAAAACTCTGTATATTAAAATAGTTACATGCTTCATTGTTTTATGCTACTTGAGTGCCCCCTGTCTTTTACTGTTACTATATGCTCCTAATTGGCCTCTTGGGATTTATCACTTCTTGTGCAATAAAGGATAAAGCTCAGTTTATTTTTATATTTTAAGTGAATTTTTATTTAAAACAATTTTGCCTATTCTGTTATAGATTTTCCAATTCATTTCAAACATGGACTTGCTCTAAAGCCATTTTTCAAATAGCTGAAATCATTATTGAAATGTTAACTTTTTGCAACACAGATAAAATTGCTAAATTTGAGACATTTTACATTTGGGGTACAGGGAATGTATTTGAATTTATTTTTGTAAAGAGTATTTTGTTTTTTTCCAATTACACATAAAGATATTTTTTAACATTTATTTTTTGTAAGATTTTGAGCTCTAAAGTTTTCTCCTTTTCTTCTGTCCCCTCTTCCCAAGATGGCAAGCAGTCTGATATAGGTTATACATGTGCAATCATGTTAAACATTTCCTCATTAGTTGTCTTAACCATATGTGTGTTGTAAAGACCACTAGGACATCTTCCATCCTTATCAAGGGAAGTGCTAACCTTCTCTTCTTTCATACAACACTGTATTTGAATATTTTTCCTAAGAATGTGCAACAAGATCTGTTAATATATTCAGTAGTTAGTTTGCTGAGAAACCACTCCAGTATTCCAAGGAGTGATGGTACTAATTAACACTTAATAATGTATTCTGTGTACCAACAAGTCCACAGGGCTCTCAGTAGTTTAGTATACCAGCACCAAATACCTATTGTAAAGACCTGTCATGGACATCCTTTTGCATAAGCAGAGAGGCTGGTTGTCCTAGGTAAATAGGAGGAACACTGGCCTTGTAGTCAGATCTGGATTTGATGGTTCTGAAACTTACTAAGTGTGTGACCTTGAATAAGTCAATTTACTTCTTTGCTTCTGTTTCATCTCTAAGATGGAGATAATATTTCCCACTAAGAAAGTGAAGAAAATGATATGCAAATGCTAACTCAGTGTTGAAATGTGTGATATCTTATTCTTATAACTATTATTACTCTATTTGGGAAGGGAGAAACCTACCATACACATACATCATGGAATTCACATTGCATGAGGTAAGAAGCAGGACTCTGTTCAGTATGAAAACCTATAGTGGCATAGTAGGTGGTGCAGTGGATAAGAGTGCCAGGCTTGAAGTCAGGAAGACTCATTCATTTTCGTGAGTTCAGATCTGGCCTTAGTCGCTTACTAACAGTATGACCCTGAGCAAGTCACTTAACCTTGTTTGTCTCCATTTCCTCATCTGTAAAATGAGCTGGAGAAGGAAATGGAAAACCATTCCAGTATCTTTGCCAAGAAAACTCCAAATGGGGTCACAAAGAGTCAGACACTACTGGATGATAGAAATGACTGAACAACAACAACAACAAAATCTAGCCCTTCTACTTACTAGCTATGACAGTCACTAGTTCACTTACAGGAATTACAGTTGGGAGTACCCTTAGAGTAAACTGGCCTATGGGCCAAATTCAGCCTGCTGCCTGTTTTTGTGTGGCCTACAAGCTAAGAATGATTTAATCTTTTGTTAAACAGACCCCTGACATTCATGAAACCCATTTTACAGTAGAATTACCAAAGCTAAGAGAGGTAAAGATATTTATGCAAGGTCACATAGGTATTAAATAACAGAACTAGGATTTGACTTCAGGTCTTATTCCAAATCTAGTGTTCTTTCCACTGTACCACAATATCTCTTAATTTTGACCAGAAGCAGGGAGATAGATGATGTCTCCAGGTTCCTTATTTACTGTATCAATGGACTTAACTGGCCCTTTCAGCTTTCAGGCATCCTTTCTACCAGGCTAATATAGTGACTCCTGTCCAGGTGTCAGGGTATTTTTCCATTCATAACCATCCTATACCTTATTTTGCTCGCCTGTAAAATAAGAAGATTGAACCACATGGTTACTAAGGTCTCTTCCAGTTCTCCAATTCTGATTCTGTGGAGTAAGCGCATGCTAAAATCACCTGCCACATTAAACAGATGAGGCTATAAAGAAAATAAAATAAACTCTTTAGGAACATTTCAAGAATGAATGTCAGTCTGACAGTAACAAGGGCCAAGGTATGGCTAAATTTGAGATATGTTGACCTCCTGTGAAGAAGACAGTTGATTTTTCCTAAAAGCAGTGTATGGCCTTCTATTTAAACAGTTGTCTGGTGTCTCACGATGCCACATGCTATTTATTGAGTGTAAGTCTTCTACTGTCAATTTTTCCTACAAAGGTGAATCTTACCACATGGCTATAGACATCATATCGGCTTTTTACAGAAAGATGCTGTCTCTTTAAAGGAAAAAAAAAGCTCCCCTTTAGTTTAACAGCATCCCCCATGAGAACGCTGAAAGATGCAGAGTTACAACAAAGGCAGCAGAATCTAGGGCACGCTGCCACCAATCTGCACACTGGTTCAGTTTCTTCCACCGTCTGTAACAATGAAGAGCATTAAACATTTACCCAACTGCTTGTTATCAAAATTGCTTATCTTGTACTTTTTAAGAATAACTCCTTTGATTTTCCTGGAGCAGAGATCTCTACATAGCAGGGAAGAAATGGAGGAAGAAATGTTCCCAGCCATAGCTAATCCTACCTCCCCATACCCCTACTTTCCACACCCTCAACAAAGAAGTCATTTGTATAGAAATCACTCAAGTACTAAAATTCTGAGCATTTTTACAATAGACATTTTTGGGGTAGAAACTGTGTACTGCTCTCTAATAGATTTGAGACTTGTTTCTAGGCATGGGTTTGTACAATTAATCAAATCTATGCTTTGTCTGTGGGAAGTATTTCATTGGTGTGGTGGGTAAATTATCTCTTTATGGAAGCATCTGTGTTGCTGGTACAGTGTTTCTATTTTTAACCTCCCTAAAAGAATTTTCTTTCTCTAAGAGCCCCATCAGACAATAGGAAATCACTTTCCCAGTCTTGAAGCTCATTAACTGCTCATATATTGTGTTGTATATTATTTTTTAAATGGAAAAAAGAATCTTTCTTAACCGAAGAATAATCCAAGTTCAATATTTAAATTCTCCCCACATTTTTATATACAAATTAATTATGTGTTTAATTCCATATACCTAGCTCTAGACCTGCTTTTCCATGCAGAAAAAAGTAATTATTGGCCCCTAGAGGAAGAAGCCATTTTGAATAAAGGCATATTATGATTTTGGACAAACTAGACTGTAAGTTCCTTAAGGACAGGGAACCTATTTTTTGGGACCTCTTTTGCATTCCTGTCTCAGTACCTAGCTGAGTGATGGGCACACAATACAAATTCAATCAATATTTGCTGAATCGAATTGTTCAGCTCTTGCTCAACCCAGCAGAACAGAAAACAATTATGGTTTAAATTGATGCTTGCTGAGTCTTTTCCTAGAGAGATAAGGATAGGCAAGAGCTATATTTTTTCATAGCAGTAAGAGCCTTACCTTCATCTCTGGGCTCCATGACATCCATTGAATGATGAAAAGCATAACTGTTTCTTAATATAGACAGAATTCATTCAAACATTTTTAAATACCTTCTGGATGCCAAACATTTATTGTGCTAGGCCCTGGGAGTGATACAAAGTCAAAATAAAACATAATTGCTTCCCTAATAAAACTTACCATCTAGGGGTAGGGTGGAGTAAAACATAAACATCAATAATTATAATACATAATATTACATAGCTGCATTAGAGAAGTACAAAAACCTGAATGCTATGTGAGATCTAAGGAGGAGAGTTGCAATTGTGCAGGAATATCATGAAAAGTTTATTGGAAAAGTTATAATATGAATTGGACTTTGAAGGATACACATTCAATAGGTTAAGGGGATGAAAGGAGAATATTCCAAGCTTAGGGAGTATAATGAGAAAAGACACAAAAGTAGGGAACCACATGGACTGTTACAGATCAGACTAGTACAGTATTATTATCATGTACATTTCATGGAGGGGTATTATTTGAGATAAGGCTGGAAAGGGAAAAGAATATCAGAGTGTGTATAGGTGGGGTCAGGAGTGTCATGAATTCCAGGAAAGGGCTTTTGGACTATTCTCAGTAAGTGAGAGAGATCTAATGAAATTTTTTGAGCAACCCACATCAAGATGTAGAGACACAAGACAGGTAATTCCAGTAGCTGTATGGAGATGGTTGGGAAGGAGGAAAAAGTAAGATCTGTTAGAAGACAACGTCTGTGAAGTTGATAATCAGTGCTTACATTAGAGTGGTGGCAATGGGAAAAGAGAAGAGGAAAGATAAGGGTGTTATATATATCAATTGACTGGAAGTGATGGGTGAAAGGAAAGAAAAAAAAAGAGTTGACAGCAGTCCCAAGGTTTTGAGCATAGGAATATCTGTGTAATGAGGGACACACAGGTTATTAAATTCACATCTTATCAGGAACATCAAATCAGGAATGCATGGAGAATGGAAAAAAGAGGTAAGGTATACTTTGCTTCTGAATCTTTTTTTTTTTTAAATCAAACTAACCATACTTTGATACCTACATGCATCCCTAATATCTTCAATTTGGATATTTTCTCTAACAGTGGATATCACAATAAAACAATGACCTTTTGTTTAGTGTGATTTTCATCCATTTTCCATAAATCCCTTACAAGTGTTCCAAGAAATACGTTTGGGGTTTTCTGTAGTTATATTGACTATGTGTGGATACCACTGGAGTATATAGGCTAACTGTTTTCTTTTAATCTCTTGCTACTACCATGTGAATGGCATACCTTCTTTTCCAGTCATACATCTCTCTAATGACATTCTTTATGCCAATTTTCTTGTGAAATATTTGTTTGACATTTTTTGTAGCCTTCTTATTCTGACCATGAGCCTCTTCAATGCCATTTAGATGGCCACCAACTTTAATTTTTCAGAGGATATGTTGATTCTATTGACTTACACCGCAACAATACAAGAATAGTTTACGGGTCAAGAGGGGGATCTTTAGTTTTAAAATAAGGCTTGAAGTCATAAAAACTCCTATCCACTTTCCTTTTTTTTCTCTGTATGTGCTCCTTTTTTATTAATAAATTTATTTATTTTTTGTTTTCAACATTTACTTCCACAAGATTTTGAGTTTCAAATTTTCACCCCATTTTGCCCCTCCCCATGCCCCAAGATGGTATGCATTCTGAATACCCCTTCCCCTAGACTGCCTTCCCTTCTATCTCTCCCCCCCTTCTCTTATCCCCTTCCCCTTCTATTTTCCTGTAGGGCAGGATAGTTTTTGTACCCCATTTCCTGTATTTCTTATTTCCAAGTTGCTTGTGAAAATATTTTTTTTAAACATGTGTTTTTAAAACTTTGGGTTCTAAATTTTCTCTCTTCCTCCCTCCCCACCCACCATCATTGAAAAGGCAAGCAACTCAATATAGGTTATACATGTGCAGTTATGCAAAACACTTCCATAGTAGACATGCTGTGAAAACTAACTCTATTTCCCTTAATCTAATCCTGCCCCCCCCACTTATTCTATTCTTTCTTTTGACCCTGTCCCTCCTCAGAAGTATTTGCTTCTGATTACCCCCTTTCCC